TACTAGCGATGCCCTCTAACCTGAGAGCGATGGCCTCCAACCTACTAACGATGGCCTCCAACCTACTAGCCATGGCCTTGAACCTAATAGCGATGGCCTCCAACCTAATAGCAATGGCCTCCAACCTAATAGCAATGGCCTCCAACCTAATAGTGGGGCCTCCAACCTACTTGCGATGGCATCCCACCTAACAGCGATGGCCTCCAACCTAGTAGCGTCCTTGCTCCTAGTAGTAATGGCCTCCACCCTAGTAGCTTCTTGCTACTAGTATTGCCTTTGGCACGGACGAACGGTGGGACTGGCGGGGAAGTGACGATGGGACTGGCTCGAGCCCACCGCAGCGCATTGCTGCGTTCCATGTCGGACCTTGAATGAAATGGCCGATTTGGAGCAATTTGTAAATCTCCGTGCAGGTTTCAATGGGTATACCAATTGTGGGGAATGCATATCTTGATTTGGCGAGCTCATCCTCCTCCATAGGCAGACATGAAGAGAAAATCATTCAAACTATGAGAAATCCCACCATCTCACTGACGACGTGCCGGACACCAAACGGCGTGCTCGTCCTGTGGGCACACCAAACAGTTGATGCCGTGGCCATGGGAACTGCCCATTAGAGCTGATTTTCTCTCAAATCCTGCATGAGCTCCTACTCACTAGCTTGGTCTCGGGATGGACATAGGAAAACATGGAAGAGAATGTGCATAGTCTTTCAGACCACTGGTGTCTGTTCGAAGAATGTGCATGGTCAGAAGAAGAGAACTGAAACTGCGGCAGGAACGTGCACCTTTTGGGCAAAGGACCATCATAGCTTGATGTTCAAGATGATAATAGAAAAGGAAAGACAGTTTGACTCGTTCATGCGAGGGTCTGCGATCCTAACCCGACGATGACCCTTTCAACTCGTCCATCCCGGATCCACTTCTACGTGGACCTGCAAAGGACAGGTAGGAATCCCTAGTGTTCCCTCCCCCAAAATACTAGCATCCTCCAACAACGACGCTTTGTTTGGAATGCGAGGATGTCAGCTTTTCCATGGCTCAGTGGGTCTTTGGGTGAAAATCTCCATGTTCGACCCACCCGAAGATCTGAGAAGAGACCAGAGACCTCAACGGTTTCGGCTTTTCGCTTGGCGTCCCTGGACCAAAAACAAACACCAGTTTAACCCACACAAGGCCTAGTGGGTCACCAAGAGACCGCTGCATGGATGATTGGATTTGAAGACTAAAGAGAACTGACGAAGGTAGTAACAAGGGCATCGCTACTAGGAGCAAGACGCTACTAGTAGCTCTTGGCATTACTAGTAGCAAGAAGCTACTAGTAACAAGGGCATCGCTATTTAGTAACAAAAGATTTCTGCTCAAGAAAATGGACATGATTGGATTTGAGCATGTTCTTCCAATCGGTTCATCTAATTACAGCACACACCTGACAAAAGAAAACTACGCCTAAATCAACCGCAAGCTGTCGTGCTTTTCTTGGAGGGTTTCATGTTGATTGAACTTGGCAGCAAGGAAACTAGTTGCTGCTTCTGCACTTCAAAAGTTGGACACCCTCCAAGGAAACCATCCACTTGCTGCTCTACCCTTCTTCTCCCCACTTCACAACTCCCGACGTGAAAACAACGTCGACCGGCGTCGGTCGGAACCCACGCGCTGAGCTGTCAGACCACCACGGCGGGGATCGGGGGACCCGTTCCAACTGGCGTCGGGCTAGCCGGGAGCCGGAACCCAACCGGAAGCCACCAAGCGGAAACCAAAGACTCCATCTCTCTCTCTCGACACTTCTTAATTTATATAAATATGGTATAATAGTATTAACTTGTATGCCTGTAGATCTTCCAACAAATGTCTGCCAAACTTGGTTGGTCTTTATACAGTGAAAAAGGCAACCGCAAGAATCGGTGGGATCCGGTTTGGAAAGAGACCCAATTGGGTTGAGTTTCTCCAGGACTCGTGAAATGCATCTACCATGCTGAGGATTTATATAGATGAATAAGTCCAGACCAAGCTGAAGCATATCAGCATATCTATATACACTACTGCATGGTCATGAGTCATGAACATCAATTATTAACAATTGACCATGTCTTTGAGTCTTTGAACAATTCTTTTGAACGTCGAACGTCTATGGTGCAGGTCTATGTGAATGCGTTGTGTAGCTCCCCTTACACCTGCCCAAGGAGAATTCCGCCACCCGAAACGCATTCCCAATGATTGCTCCCCCAACATCACGCTCTGACCTTCTGACCGTCTGCCTGCTGCTCACAATGGCTAGGAGCCATATTGAGAACAAGCACCAAGTGCTACATATACCCAAACCAAATCTTAAGCAACAAAATAAGCCAATGTGAAATAGCTTGAGAAACACTTTATACCTAAGAAGTCCAGACCCGGCGAGACCATTCCCTCCGAATTCCCTTCAGCTTCTCTTCCATTCTTTTCAAACAGTGCAAGCTGAGACCCCATAGAATTAGTATATGCACCAGTCACACTTCCACCACAGTTGCACTCGTCACTTCCAACAGCCCTAGTCGCGCGCGCGCGCGGGCACCGTAGGACTCCGAGAACTTCCAGTGGAAGCTGCTGGGAAGGGGCGTCCAAGCCTCGGGACGCTGCGATGTTGAGGACGGGTCCTGGAAGAGATCAGTGAGGATATCTGGATGGATCTGGATGATAACCACTTCTTTGATCTTCTTTGAACATCTTGAAGCTGCGGAATCCTGATTTATCTTTAAAAAAAAAAACACGAAAAAGACTCTTGCTCCAGAATCTGTCCAATCTCAATCGTGCCTTTCTATGCCTATCAATTTGACGGTCACGCTAGAGAAGCCTTTGCCAGATGTTGGGAAGGTGAAGGCAAACCTTTGAGGCAAGAAAAGGCTCTGTGATTGTCTGTTGCGGGGAGATCCAACAAGATCCTTTTGCCAACCTGAGAGCTAACTGTTGAGATCATACATGGGCTGAAAACTTCACCAAGCTGAACCTCGAAGGAAATGACGTTCCATGGATGTGGTTGTTCAGAGATATCCGGCATCACCACCATGCCTTCCCACTTGAGAACACCGTCAAGAACATGTAAAAACGACAAATGAACCACGCACCTGGTCTTGAAAGAACCCCTCAGACACACACATCTGTGGACTCCGACGGTCTGGTGCTGTCCCACGGAGACGCGCACTTGCAATTCGTACGAAGGAGGAGACACCTGGCGAAGGAGGAGGGACCAGCCCCCCCAACACATCCAGCTGTTCTCCCGGCCCCAAGCCAGCCCAAGACACCACAAGCCGAGCAGCTAAAACAAATTGAAGAATTGTCAGACATTGGCTGCCTTTTGGATCCTTTTGGCGAACGTGGTGAAAATGAAAGAACACCAGCGTTGACACATGTGGCGGAGCTAAAAATGTGTAAAAGAACTAACCCCCAGGAACGCGACTGGCACGGAGGGCGTGGAAAGAAAAGACCTCATACTACATCCCCACAGACATCCGCAGACTAAGAACCGATTCTTACCGGTGACCGGAGTGGTTTAAAATCCTTCCGATCTGTGCCGATGTGAAGGATCCAGACACGCTTCCGGGCGAACAAGAAGGGTGTCGGAAGCATCACGAGAAACATCAATGTTCGACTCAAAGCATCGAACCCATTCTCCAGAATCCCTTGCATTGGCCTCCAGCTCAGAAGCTATGTATGGATAAGGACCTGGGCCAATGTTTTCGCGCAAGTCCTTTTGGTAGGTGCTCACAAAATGAAGGTCTTAATAGGTTTACCTGCATTTTTGCAATCCTTGTTTTTCCAAGAATACCATTGCTGTCCCTCCATCCACATAGAGCTTCATCCGACTAAAAGAGCCTTCACCCGGCCTTTCATGCGATTGATCTAATATGATCTAATTATTCGCTCACCAGCCAAGGGAAGCTACTTCTCAAGGTCTCTGGCTTGAATATCTTCGAAACCCTGGAGGAAGCATGTTGTTTCAAACGCACAGCTTGGAACGGAGAATTGAACCTGGGCAAGAATACTTTTCCAAACTTCACATTGGGATTTCCCTGCGCTCATCTGAGATCCATGTGGCACTTCATCCAGCCATTCCGAACGGAGCAACACCCAGCTTCAGCGCCCAAGCGCTTCGCCCCAACCAGCCGGCTGCCCCGCGGCTGTCGCGAATGTGAGCACTGCGGTTGGAGTAGAGCAACGCCCAAGCGGACCTCGGAACGGAGCTGCACAGCTTGCAGAATGACCAGTGGATGTGGGTCAAACCTTAAAACCACCAGGATACCAACCCCTTGACCTACCTACCGGTGTCGGGCGCGACCGCCTCACGAGGGAACTGGTGGGACCAACATGTGTCACGACCCATCCAACGGAACGGCAGAACACCAACGAGGGCTCGTTCAGACGGCTGTTCTCCGTGCTTGACTGTAACCTCCGACTCGAAAGGGTCCAAACGTGGCTCCCACGCGAGAAAACGAGACCCTCTATGAACCCGCCAGCTGCGAGAGTTCTAGAGTTCTCCGGTAGGTTGACCTCCAGATACAAAGTGGTCGACCATTCTGTTCATGTTCGGTGGGAAAAAACGGGTCCACGGTGGACCCACACGGAATATCTCCAAGCATGTTCAGCTGATCGGTCCATCTTCCCCCCCATGCCCCAGGCGGGATTCTCTTCGGGAGCACCGGAGAAGCTCCTCCGTTCTCCGTCCGGAGAAGCTCGAGAGCACCGGACTCTCGCTGAGTGACCCGGACAGCCTGGGAATCCGAAAGTCGCACTGCACCAGACCGTCATACTGCACCACGCCCGAAAGCGAGGAGACCACCTGGCCGGTGGCTTGCTTACGAGCGATTTTCGTCAGCACCCCCTGGATCGTCTGCGGATCTTGAAAAAGCCAAAGTGATGAATACCGGGATCATCCAGTCTGGGTGTCCAATGGAGGTCCAGTCTAGCAGAAGTGGCTGGGTAGTCTATGGGAGACCCAGACAGGATGACCCAGGTATGATTGAATGGTTTTTAGAGGAGGTATCTGCAACGGTCCTTGAATGTCATTGGAGGCATTTCGCAAATCATGCACCTCTCCACAATGGTGTTGTCATTCATTGAGGTGAATCAACTTGGGAGCCAGCATCAAGCAACAAACACTGAGATGATATGTTGTCCTCCCCAAGCATGTGTCTCTTACAGATTGTAGATCCAGAATGGACTACGGCAGTCGATAGCCACTATGCAGCCACCAGGAGAACTGAGGCCCTGAAGCATTGATCAGTTCCGTCCGTGGTCTGTGGCCAATCGGCCAGAGATTGTATTAGCGGAGATCCAAATCCAACAAAATGGCACAAAGATATACAATTAAGATCTGTTCTTCTAACTATCATTAGGAGGGTCCCACAATGTTCCACATCCCCTTGAATCTATCCGTCCCCATCTCTTTCAGATTCTGTTGCAGTGATCCATGAGATTCCAAGGTCGATTCCTTGGCTTAGTCACCTGTCCCGGCTCGCGTCACTGGGAGTTCCCAGCTGGCACGAGGCCCCGATCCATCTCGGTCAATGCAAGGTCGACCTAAAGCGGGCTCTGGATTTCTCCGGTGAAGGCTTCGCGGTGATGTTTGTTTGACCTTTCTTCTTTTAAACCGTTCTT